CTCCAGTTTTAGAGGATATTTTTGGTTACTGTCCTATAGTATGCGTTGGAATGATTTCAAGGAGTGCCTTGGAAATATGTGTTACCAATCACATGAATCTCCCGCCCCTGACACACAAGCACGCGGTTTGATTGGCTAGAGCTTGTACTGTGTTATGGAATATGATTCGATTGGCTGACGCCTCCGTCGAGGCGTCAAAAGTTGAACATTGCTCAACTTTTGAAGCGAGCAACGCTCCACGTCGCTTCCCAAAATGCAGTTCGGCTAAAAGTGACGTCACCCCATTCAAAGTGAATGGGCAGAAGCGTTGGAAGCTTCAACGCACGCCGCTGTGTGGACGGGCCGTAACATTAAGTCCCCTAATAAATCCTCCCTAATTGATCTCATTTTAACTAATGTTCCCCATAAATACTCATCTGTGGGAGTATTTGCAAATGATCTGAGTGATCACTGTGTTGTAGCCACAATTAGGGACACTAAGGTCCTAAAGGGTAAACCTCGCATTATCATTAAGAGAGACAAAAAGCATTTTGTGGAGCAGGGTTTTGTTCATGATCTGTTTGATTTTGATTGGGGTAAAATCGATCTGTGTGCTGATGTAGAAACGGCATGGTCTTATTTTTATCTTGGTTTTATGGAGATCATTGATAGACATGCACCCCTGCGTACATTTAGAGTGAAGGGACGAGACAATCCTTGGTTTTCTGCTGAATTATCTAGTCTCCTTCATGAGAGAAACAAGGCCTGGGCAAAGGCTAGGAAATCAGCCTCAGAGGTAGAATGGCTGCGTTTTAGGCAGCTAAGAAATAGCTTCACATCGCAAATCAAAAGTGCAAAGTCTAAGTACTATTTGTCAGTAACCACAGAAAACCTGAATAATCCTGGAAAATTTTGGAAAGCCATAAAATCGATATCCACCGGTGAGATCCGTAATGAGCTACCTCCGTGCCTTACCACAGCATCTGGCACTATATCGGACAGGGCCACTATGCTAAATTGCTTTAATGAGCATTTTGTGTCCTGTGGCTCTCTGTTTGATTCTGTGACTAACTCTGCTTCTGTGAACACTACAGTATGTGACTCTGTGTTTTGGAAAACCCTTTTAGTTTTACTCCTTTTACTGTTGATGTTGTTCGTGAAGCTTTAACCAAGCTAGATCCTAAGAAACCGGCTGGCCCGGACAACGTAGAGCCTTTCTTTTTAAAGATAGCTGCAGATTGTATTGCTCCACCTCTCACTACTCTTTTTAACCTCTCCCTCAGCACTAACACAATTCCAAAATTGTGGAAGTCAGCGTATGTCCTGCCTTTGCTAAAAGGAGGGGAGGCCACTTTATTAAATAATTATAGGCCAATCTCTAAATTATCAGTTCTGGCTAAGGTGCTCGAACGCCTAGTGAGTGAACAGGTAAAGGTGTTTTTATGTACAAATGACATCCTGTCTAAACATCAGTCAGGCTTCAGAAAACAACATAGCACCATCACTGCCACAATGAAAGTGGTAAATGATGTGGCGAGTATTTTAGACAATAAGCAGAGTTGTGCAGCTCTAATTATTGACCTGTCCAAAGCGTTTGATACCGTCGATCATCGCATTTTAAAGCAGAGGCTAGCCAGTATAGGCATGTCCAGCCATGCAGTGGGTTGGTTTGTGAACTACCTCTCTGAAAGGTCCCAATGTGTTCACTTTGATGGGCTGTCTTCTGAGTGGTTAAACATCTGTTAACAGCATTCCCACTAAACTAATCCAGATCCTACGGGGAGACACAAGGATGTATTTCTGTAATGAAACATCATCTAGGTTCTCCTATTTGTTTTCCCTCATTTTTAAAAAGCATATCCATAAACTGCACAGCTGCTACACATTTAAAACAGATATTTTTGTATACAATATAGTATAACTAGATATTTCATTTTCAAGCAGATGCTTTACTTTTTACCCCACTATGTTTATTTTACAGATTAATACATTAGTTACTTAAAACATTCAGATTTTGACCGACAATAATAGGATTATTTGGTGCAAATTAAACCATCCAACATTATATTTATGTAACTGAAACCATGAGTGAGTTAATAGAAAATGTATTGGCAGCAAATTTGCAAAGAAGTTTTTTGTTATATAAATGAATATACAAATGTTAGATTATTCATGTTTAAATATCTTTTGAGTACTTAAATACTTGTACTTGACTTTAGTACCATTCTCGATGCAGTACTTTAACTTAATAATGAATATTTATACAGTTTGGTACTTTACTCAAGTAAAGAAGCTACAACTTTTGCCACCACTGGACAGACCACAGGAGAACACACACACATCCCAAGGCAATATAAAACAAGGTGAGAAAACAGCATGGCACAGAAGTGTTGACCTCGATGCAACAGCACTAGTTTCTCTTTTCTATTGTACACTTTCATATTCCTTTATAAGTATATTGACCGTGTTTATAGTACTGCCACATAACATCCAGACAAAGTCCTTGTATGTCTGAAAAACAGATTTTGACTCAAACTGATTTTCATATCTGTAAGCATCTGTCAGCATTTGCTGTGTTTTGCACAGAACAAATATCCAGATCAGCACTTTACAATAACCAAGGCTACAGAACATAGTTTTCTTGTAACATAAGGAAAACAGGGTTAAGTTAGAAAAGATGAATGACTGCCAAGTATAGATTTCAGTGCATGCAAGAGAGAGAAAACTCAAAAGAAAATTCCTCTTTTTTAAAAGAAATTGTTAATTCAGATTTATTGATTTACCAGATTTTAGATCTTCCATTATTATTTATAATAATACACCCCTGTATTCATCTTTAAAAATAAATAGCGAGCTTTAAGAATGGACAACTGAACTGCCTACACTTTTTTCAGTGTGATCTTAAGGCTGCTGATCCCAGAGGACGTATACTCGCTGAGTGGGGATTGTGAACGTGCTGAACCTACAAAGGTGGATGAGGTGTTACTTTAGGTGTTCTTCCATGCCTTTCAGTTCTTTATTATGGCAAAAAGGATCTTAAGGAAAGAACCCAATTGTTTCCTCCCCTAAAAGACACATCGCCAAGGCTTCAATACTTATAATGGCTTGTGGAAGAAAGACAGAACAGCAGATCAACATCTGTAAGGAACATACTGTGCTGTATGTACACCTCAGTCAGGAAACGGAGCCAAAACAGTTGCTTAGCTCCAGAAAATATATATATCTTTTTTTTATTCTAGGAAGATCCAATTCAGATTACGGTTGCATTCATGTTTAACAAGATGTTCTCGTTTTGGGTAAATATCACCGAAACCATGAATTTCATAAGTCCGGAAGTAGGAATTCCAAAAATCTGCCCAAGTCCAGTGAACGGAGAGGAGTGCCAGAGCTGCGATTGAGATGCTCTGGGACTAACAACCGTCAACAGGGAGAGGAAAGAATTTGACTTTTGGAAAGGCGGGTAGCATTTCCCTGGAAAAAGCTTTAGTGTAGTCGTCAGTGCATATTTGAGTAGTTGTTTCATGCACGGGTGAATATTACAGGGACAAAGACATGCATACTTTTGATATTGCACATGGTTGAAAAGGAAAGAATGCAGACACAACAGGACAGACTACACACTCAAACTTTAACTGTTGGACTGAGAGAACACAAGGATGTTTATCAAAGTGTGCGTCCCCAAAGACAAGGCTGTCTGTTCACTTATACACAAATATACTACAAATAACTACTTGCTACACTCTAACAAGCAAAATGTCCTGATCTTGGTTTTTGTGTTTAATATTTCCCTTTTATTTTGAAAAGCATTTTCTCTTTCTGCCATGTCTATTTTTACTTCCAGTCTTAGTATTTTTTCCCAGCCTTTGTAATTGTGTTGCGCTAATTCTCTCCACCTGTGTAACTGTCTGATTTAAATCATCTGCTGCCCTTGGGTTTTTGCTGCCTCCTCCAACTGTGTCTTGTCTTTGTGATTATTCTTGTGTTATGCCTGTCTTTCCTAAGACCTTTCTCATTTCTAATGTTCCCCTCCTCGACTCATATCCTCGTGTCTTAGTCCCGCCCACAGGACATGTGAGCAGAGGAGTCGAGGAGGGGAACCGAGGAGAGAGGAGGGGAAGCAGCAGGCGGTTAGATAAATGAGAAATCCTCTTCTCTGAGCGGTCATTTTAAAGAGACGTCCATTAATGATGACAGGAGGCACAGCAGCCCTCTGATGTGCAGAACTCATTTCATAAAGCTTGCTCTTTGTTTTATACACTTGAACCCGCCTCCCCTCTTTCATTCTGCATTTGACTCCTGATTTTCTTACCCCCATTACACAAATGCCCTTCCTATTTAGATATATACCATAGGGACAGTAGAACTACACAGCCCCTTTCTTCCAACTTATCAAAAGTTTCTAAAGTCACTTCTTTGGGTTAATCACAGTCTGTGGATGCTTCATAAGGTAGTATTAGTTTTAGGGCTAACATCAATTACATTACATGCCATCTGCCCCCAATGTCTTTTTTCTCTCATTTATTTATAGAGAAAAAAGATAACTAACTTAATTTCGGCTAATCAGAGAGAGAAGAGAAGAACAAGAGGATTTAGTGTCAAAGCAAAAGCACCTGTTTTACAATATTCTGGATTTATACACAACGCTAATAGGGAACCTGGACTTAAATGAAATGCAACTTGTACCAAGTCTTTTTTCGGGAATTAGCTCAGACGGTAACCATCAGGATGAATTGGAGATTTATGAACATAATATTGATATCATTGTGTATAGGTGTGTGACTTTGACTTCCCTTTTGTATTCCAAAGTGTCCAATTGTTGTCGGAGCAGCTGAAAACAGCAACACCGAGAGCCCTCTGCTAAAACTTGATTAAAGTTCAGCAGATCATACTCGTTATTTTACGACGACACAGAACTGCTGTGCTCTCAGAAGCAAGATGCCAACTGCACGCTCAATGTGATGATGTGCTAGTTATAAGAAGTCAAATCTGACACCTAACACGATGTAACTATATTTGCTTACCCATCCCTGTAGTTGATGACCGTATCGATGATGGTGTTCATTTGCTTGGTGACTTTGGGGTGGTTGGGGGAGTGTTTATCAGCTGGTGGGCGTCCACGTTTCTTCTTGGCCTTGGAGCCCCCTTCATCCCTGCTCGACGAGTCCTTGTCCTGGCGTCTCTTGCGTTTGCGCTTCTTCAGGCGGATCTCCTCCTCCATCTCTTCCAGGTTTCCATCCTCAACGGCCTGACGTCATCAAAATAAATAAAGAGAGAGTTAATCCTCACCCACGTGAATTCATATTGAAATATGAAATGTGTGAAATCTACAATCATTACAAACCATGGCAGTGTTTTTAACTCTGACTGTCAAGCCTGTCTAGATATGTTACTTTAGCAGTGCATACACGTCTCACATGTTTTTCTCCTTTTAAGTAGAGCCTCTCTGAACTGCAGCTACACTTAAAAAATACTGTCACCTCTGTCTTAAAGTTTCTCTGTTCTATTCTTGTTCACTCTAAAACACCTAAGACATAGCTTCCAGGCCTCAGAAGTCTCTCTAGGGGAGTGTGTCACAGTCTATTTGCTGTGAGTGACTGGGTGCTATTAGCACCCCGCTGTGCTAAACCTTAGCTTTACATCCAGTCATGGTAAGGGCTCGATCTACAGACCTTGGCTGTGTGTGTGTGTGTGTGCGTGTGTGTGTGTGTGTGTGTGTGTGTGTGTGTGTGTGTGTGTGTGTGTGTGTGTGTGTGTGTATATATATATATATATATATATATATATATATATACACAGTGGAGGAAATAAGTATTTCATCCCTTGCAGATTTTGTAAGTTTGCCAACTGACAAAGAAACTAAAAGTCTATCATTGTAATGGTAGGTCTATTTTAACAGTGAGAGTAAGAATATCAAAAAGAAAATCCAGAAATTGACATTATATAAAAGATAAAAATTGATTTGAATTAAACTGTGGGAAATAAGTATTTGATCCCCTTGCAAAACATGTGTTAGTACTTGGTGGAGAAACCCTTGTTGGACCGACAGAGGTCAGACGCTTCTTGTAGTTGGTCACCAGGTTTGTGCACATCTCAGGAAGGACTGTGGTCCACTCCTCTCTGAAGATTCTCTCCAAATCCTGAAGTTTTTGAGGCTGATGCTTGGCATCTGGAAGCTTCAGCTCCCTCCACAGCTTTTCTATGGGATTAATGTCTGGAGACTGGCTAGCTATCAGCCAAGATTTCACGGTACATGGCCCCATACATCCTCTCCTTGATGCAGGGAAGTCATCCTGTCCCCTTAGCAGAGAAACACCCCCAAAGCATAATGTTTCCACCTCCATGCTTGACGGTGGGGATGGGGTTCTGGGGTTATAGTCAGCATCTCTCTTCCTCCCAAACACGGCGTGTCAAGTTGATGCCAAAGATCTCGATGTTGGTCTCATCTGACCACGTCACCTTCTCCCAAGCCTTCTCTGAGTCATTCAGATGTTCATTGTCAAACTTCAGACGGACCTTTCATGTTCTTCTTGAGCAGGGGACCTTCAGGCGCTGCAGGATTTGATCCATTATGGTGTCGTGTGTTCGCAATAGTTTTCTTGGTGACTGTGGTCCCAGCTGCCTTGAGATCATTAACAAGTTCCTCCAGTTTAGTTCCTGGCTGATACCTCACCTTTCTCATGATCATCAATACCCCACGGGGCGAATGATTGTTGATTGATGCCCATTTTCTTTTTCTTCTGTGGACAGGTGTCTTTTATACAGGTAACAAGTTGATATTATGAGTACTTTTTTAAAAGAAGAGGACTTATGTAACCGGTCTGCGGGAGCCAGAATCATTGTTGGTTGCAAGGGGATCAAATACTTATTTCCCACAGTTTAATGCAAATCAATTTTTATCTTTTATATAATGTCAATTTCTGGATTTTCTTTTTGATATTCTTACTCTCACTGTTAAGATACACTTATATACTGTTAATTTCTTTGTAAGTGGGCAAACCTACAACATCTGCAGGGGATCACATTTTTGTAACATAAGGAAAAAGTGGTTAAGTTAGAAAAGATGAATGACTGGTAAGTGTTTACCTTGTATTACACGGCTTAGAGGAACACTCTATTCTGATTGGTCGATTTGGATTTTTCAGAGGTTTTTACCACCTGCTAACACACCTCTGTTAAGCATAACATGACCGTGGCTAAGGACGATCAAGGGAATATTTGCAGTAATATCTAATACTGCTATGAAAAAATCACAATAACTTCAATGAAACGGCACATTATATTTCAAAAGATTGCTATAGGTAACTGCAGGGAAGAAGCGTTGAAGGTGAATAAAGACATTATGGGTTTTTAACCAATTTCACACAGTTACATTTATCACTATATTTGTTAGAGAAATAATAGCTTAGTAAGTATGCTCAGACTTTACCCGCAGCCACTGTTTTTCAGTGAGCGTGTCGCTGTAGTCTACGTCCCGACGGCAGCGAGACCCCCGGCCGAACATCTTCTCCTCCTCCTCTTCGTACGTGAGGCGGTCCACCTCAGCTTCGTCTCTGATGATCCAAGAAGGCAACTCGTCCTCCTCCATGAGGCGAGGCTTGCGCTTTGGGTTCCTGGCGTCCTCCCGCCGTCGGTCCATGTCAATGCGCTGCAGAGAAGAAAATACAGATGATTCAAACTGGAATAAGCATTGGATTTCTACCTTGTTGGTATTAGCATCACTATATGGACGCATCAAACATCAGGCCATATTTTTGCTTTAACTAAATGCACCTTTGGACGAAGCCCTTCTACAAGTAACAAACTTGCTGCCAGCCATAACCTATTGCTTCCAGGTTTCTCATGTATATTTAATATCTTGCACCCAGACATCATGGAGCAAGTCAATAAGAGCTGGGTGAAAATAAAAATGAGGCGACTCTGTGAGGAGCCAGTGAGGCTTGAGGCTCTGTGAGGACAGCTATTTAAACACTAGCATTTCATTTTTTTCAGTAAAAAACTGTGTATACTGAGTGACATGGTGACTGTGAGGCCTTTATCCATGGCAATTTAGTTGTTTATTATGCATGAAGAGTTGTCCGCGGGACAAACGCGCCATTCTCAGATGCCTGAACAAGAAATACATTTTAACCAATGAACAATAGTCTCGACATGATGGAAAACCTACAATTATTTTGTCGGTAAGAGAACCAGCTATCAGCGTCTCCTCTTTAGGACGATTGCTTTTGGAGTCTTACTCTGCAATTTAAATGTCGATGAGATCTCACAGGAATGTGTGCCTTTTCTTACCATGAAGAGCTCAAATTCGTCTTCATTGCGGGCTATCATCTGGTTAAGAGTTTCATCATCGGGTATCTCATCTTCTTCCTAGTTTGGAAAAACAGCAAAACACAGGCCGAGTCATTGAATGTTTCAGCACAACAGGAGCCTTGCATGGGCAGTTCAAAACAAACTGGTCACGTACTGCTTTTTGATTTTTATCAAATACAAATGAAGCTGCTGAGATTGCATTTCAAAAACATGGAATATTATAAGTGAAGGGTGGCTACCTCCCTGATCGTATCTAAAGTGCTATGTCTGCAGGAATTCAATCAAAAGCAGCATGCATCATTTAATAAAAAATTACCCCTACATTTATCTTCTTATTGCAAAATAATTCACACCCGACCTCATTCTGCTCCTCAGTCAGTAAAATGGCCTGGAGGAAAGCTTGGCGCTCGTTGCCTGAGGACTTCTGGTCGAACATGCCCGCCTGGATGACCTTCTGATCCACGTTGAGTTTGTATTTGGCAGCTGCCAGGATTTTCTCCTCCACACTGTTGACGGTGCAGAGACGAAGCACGCGCACCTCGTTCTGCTGGCCGATGCGGTGAGCCCGGTCCTGAGCCTGCAGGTCCTGGAAACACGGATTAAAGAGAAATATTAGTTAATTTATGTCGCATCAACCTAAAACACTGTCAGTAGCAGAGATGGCAAAAGTACACACATCCTTTACTCAAGTAGAAGTACAGATACTCGTGTTTAAAAATACCCTGGTAAAAGTAGAAGTACTGACTAAACTTCTTTACTCAAGTAAAAGTAAAGAAGTATGGGCTTTGAAATGTACTTACAGGTGGGGTAGGTAATTTTGGAGAAACCAGCTCGAGTGCGCTAGAATTTGAAAATACAGCCGGAAAAAATCTGCCACTTCCTCACAGAGCCCCTCCTCCAACACACACGAACGCGCACATGACCAATGAGGGCACGAGATAAGTTTGTGCACAGGAAGGCTGACAGGCAGGTAGGCCATCATGCTTTTTACAGTGCTACGGCTTCCACAGATGACATTTTTTTATGGATTTTTTGTCAAAGCACTTCAGATATTCATTGCTATCGGGATGTTAAGAGCATTCCATGGAATATAACAAAAAGTGTATCTCGAGCCGGTTTCTCAAACTTACCTACCCCACCTTTAAGTAAAAAGTACCCATAACTACCATCTGTTTTAAAGAGAAACTGACCTCACTTTATATTAATAGAACAATAATGTCATTGTGAGCTAATTAATGTTTCCATGCTGAACAACGGCAACATGACAACGTTTTCATTGGTCCCTCTTCTTTAGAGAAGACCAGGAAATGATGGATACACGGATCGTGTTAAAATCAATAGGCACGCAATGACTCTAAATAATAATGATCACGCCACCAAACACACATTCAGACTAAAGTAACAAACCTGTTTTGAAAATGTAAGAAGTATAAAATACAGGTATTTGTGTTTAAAATATAAGAAGTAAAAGTAAAAAGTCGTCAGAAAAATTAGTAGTGGAGTAAAGTACTGATACCAGAAAAATGTACTTAAGTACAGTAACGAAGTATTTGTACTCCACTACTTCCCACCTCTGGTCAGTAGGTACACCTTTAAATCTGCTTTGAAACTACCACTACATTCTCTAAAGTGTACATGTTTAAAATAATGCTAGTCGCCAGTAAGAAAAGCCATAACGAAAAAATGGTTAAGCCAAGTACCAAGTAGACTGATTTAATGTGATTCACAAGATTTTTGTTATGGAAGAATGAACATCTACTCTGAGACTCAAGACAGACACATTTGACAGGTGTTGCAAGGGAAGGATTGAGTTTGTAAAACCATATAGATCAGACTTCAACTAAAAACTCTATTTGTAATGTAACCCCCGTGGTTCTCTGCTACGCACAGCTGTTATTGTTGTTGTGTTTCTGTCTCTTCATGTTCGTATGTCTGTATGCGTGATTTTTAATATTTGTTATGTTGAAAAAAAGAAAAGAAAGTAAAATGTAAGATGGCTTGCAACTAAAAGAAGTTAAAAAAAAAAAGAAAATGTAAAAAAAAAGGAACATACATCCTGTAGTCAAAAGTTCACACCATGAGCACATTCTTATAACACACTATTTGTACAGTGTGTTAAACTGAGGGACGTACCTGGTGTGGATTCCAGTCGCTGTCGAAGATGACCACGGTGTCGGCGGCCTGCAGGTTGAGGCCGAGGCCCCCGGCTCTGGTGCTGAGCAAGAAGATGAAGTACTGAGATCCTTGCTCATTAAATTTCTTCAGCAGCATTGCGCGGTCGTCAGCCTTGGTGCTTCCTGAAATGCCAACCATACGTTTTTTAAGTGTGAAAAAAAGTGTCAAAGCAAACTTAAAATCAAAATGTCACCCGATACCCTGCCTCATGTCTGATGAATTAAACTGATTCAGATGTGTCTGTAGGGGCATGTGGCAGGGTTCATGGTTTTGATGTCTGATTAAATTATGCTAACATAGAATGTTCACAGTCCACAAGTCTATTTCTAAGTTGGTTTCTAAGTGCTGAGTAGATAGTGTTAATTCTGATCACCAAATGATTCCTTCTAATACAGTCATTCATTATTTGGTTGGACCAAAATAATACTGAATAAATCAATTGAAACATTTCATGTCAAGTAGAATGACTAGACATGTTTATGTTAAAGGTAACATACAGTAATATGCTAACTTTCTTTAGGTTATACTATTACATTACATTACATTTAGCTGACGCTTTTATCCAAAGCGACTTACAATAAGTGCATTCGACCAACACCTTTACATGCCTTAATGTCCAAAATATATTATTCTTCTCATTATGTCTGATTCAACATATCTGTAACACCAAGAAGTTTGGACATATTGTTAAAATGCAGTTTCAAAATACGCGCTGTGCACTTTTTTCTGTGGATTGAGTGTTTAGCTACTTTTACAGTATTTATATAGCACCAAGACTGGCTTGAAAATCTGAAATATATGGAAATATCACTCTTCTCAATTTAGCTTTTGTGCCTTTTCTTCCTGTAGTGTGTTATATAGTTTTTTGTCCATGTAAATGGAAGTCCCGAAGTTCAAGCCTATTAAAGGCAATATTCTCATTAGGATTCTCATCACGTTATGTTTGCTGAGCATAATACCCCATACTTTTAAACAAAAGGAAATCCTTTAAGTCACTAAGTCTGGAATCAGAGACCTGAGTTCCTGCATCGATTGGACTCCTTTGTTGTGTGTGACATCACTACGTAACCTCGTGCTTCCATTGGCTAGTCCTCCAACACATTGTCTGGATACGCTAAGGGCCGGGACATTTCTAAGCAGTTGAATAATCACAACAGAGCGGACCAGCTAACCAATCAGAGCACACTGGGCTCTGGTTTCAGACAGAGGGTGAAAAGAGGTGCTGCAGCACAGGCCGTCTGAGAAAGATAAAGAACCTTTTCAGCATTAACGCATGTAAGCAAGTCCCAGTAGAGGCAGACAAGAAAAATACAAACCAGAACACTTTTGAATAAAAAGGACCAATTTGCTGCCTGCAAAGAAAAGATGCTGATGCACTTTTCTAGTTAATCACATCAGCCTAGTGAGCCTGAAGGCACTGACAGTCTGTGTTTCATTCCCAGCCGGTCTCTGCTGAGCGCCTTTTACTTTCTTTCAAAATCCAGAATGAATTCACCAATCATACATAACATTCTAAACTGTGAGTTGCTGCAAAGATGTGTGAGGCTGCATGTTCATCACAGATTTCTTTGGAACAGGTCCCTGCTCCCTTCAAACTTAAGACCACACAAGTACGAGACAAGCTCTTATTGTTTGCCATAATGTGCTTCTTTTAACTGCGAAGACAAATGCCTCAACCGTCACTCGCGCACAGCAGTCAAGGGGAAATGAGGAGAGAGATCACATTGCACATTTAGTTATGTTTCAAAAACTGCACAAAAATGAATCTCCTCAGGGAACTCAGGTCTCTGAGTCCAGACTTAGTGGCTTAAAGGATTGCCTGTTGTTTAAAATGCAAAGTGTGGGGTATTATTCTCAGCAAACATACTGTGATGAGAATCTTAATGAGAATATTGCGTATTATTATTTTAGTCCGCGTACATTTGAATTACAAATGAGGAATTGATCTTTTTAACACACCAAATACATAAAGGGAACAAAGAAGTAAAGTACTAACACAAGATCGGACTTAATCTCAGATAATGATCATGTTTGTCTTTGGAAGTTGGAAAGAGCTTTTTAATTCTCTAGTATTTGTCTGTTGTGTGATGATGCAACCCTCATCATCCTTACTTTCAATGAACTTGTAAGCAATAATAGACTACATGATTCATAATATAACAGTTTTCAGAGGAGCATATCCTTCGCTTTTTATGAATTATAATTTTTATGAATTTTTAAAATTATGAATATTGCAAATATATCCTAAAGTTCATAAAGATCATCCAAATTGTGTTTAGGGCATAGACTGTATATAGAAAAGGTGTAGGGTCTTAACCATGATTCTAGTCCTATAAGGTATCTGCCAATTCCAAGGCCCATAACTAACTATATTGAATAAATATGTATCTGACTCGGCTCTTTCTCAGGTTTCTTCCACTTAAGTCCTGCTAAGAGGTTACCTACTCAAAATGAGGGTCTCTAAGGAGAGGGTGTACTATATAAAGCTCCTTGAGGCAAATGTGTGAGACTGGGCTGTGTAAATCAAATTGACTTGACTAGAAAGCTTCTTATGAAATCGGTGTGCCCCAGAGAAGAGGTCTCACTTTGTTTGAACTGCAGAAACAGAACTCAGTAGAGCTGTTTCTTTCTTTACAAATGATCTTTGAGAACAGACACAAGGCATGCAGAGAACACTTGAACCAGACAAAAGAAGGCTGAGGGGGACAATACTCAGTAGACTGCAGGAGAGGAACCATTGGATTTTGCTTTATTTAAGCCAAGGGCTTTCCAAAGTCAGAGACTGGATGCCTTCCAACACTGATACATAAAAGAGATTTGCCCTAAAGCATTTGTTAGCTTACAGTATTATACTCTAGGAAAATGGGTGGAGAAACAGTAAAATGACCTAAAACTACTCGAAATAGGAACTTCTACCTAATAAGACACACCTTCAAGCCTTTCTATTTAGTCTTCTTTTGATAACTTATGTCATATTTTTTCCCTTTGATTGAATGAGCCTCCCCTGAAACTGTTTGTGAAGCGTCCACCTTTAAAGGGCACCTATTATGCAAAATCTTTTTTCCTGTCTTTTTTACATAAACATGTGTCCCCTCTGTGTTAAGAGATTCTGAAAGTTTCAGGAAAAAAGCTTCTCTCACTTTTTGTCTTGATCCATCAACATAAAACCTGTCCGAAACCTAGCTGATCCAATGTTGGCCACTTTATGATGTCACAAGGTTGTTTTGGCTTGTGCAACCATTAGCCAATAACCAACCAAGGTAACCCCCCCCACCTTATCACCTGAATCTCCTCCTAGAGCACCATTGTGGTATTTTAAACCAAACAGTTCACAGAGGCGCGTAGCCAGCGGCGGCTCGTTTGCATTTAAAGCTACAAACACAGAGTCAGCACTTTTGAAACAGGGCGGAAACAGAGGGGTTTATGGGACGCTACAATGCATGATCTGTTTGGTATTTCGAGGCAAACACTTCAGAGACATGTTTTTTATATATCTGAGACCTATAATACATTGTTGAAAAAGAGTATAATAAGGCAGTGTTTTTCAAAGTTTGAGGGAAAGGGGAATCTTCTTTCTTTTTTTTTTTAGATGTTATTAATAACTGCATATCTATCAATCTATGTGTCCTCCTTTGATGCCAATCTTTTAATATTTTGTATTTATTAATATTTTATTTTATTGTTTTTAAATGTCACGACCGCCCTTCAAGCCAATCAGAATCGAGCTGCCGCTACTGAGAGTGAAACTGAGTATCTGCTCAGCTTTTGGAGCAAGTGAGAGCTAGTGAATATTTCGCTCTGCAGCTGGATGAGAGCACGGATGTAGCAAATATTGATGTTTATATATACGAATATAAATATGTTTATTGTTAATATTACTGTTGAATATTATATATAATATTATTAAGGCATAAGTAGCTTTCAAAAATGCTAAAAATATATGTTAATTGTTCATATTACTGTTCAAAATTATATAATATTAGAAAGACAGAAATCACTTTAAAAAGATGTTCACTGTTGATATTACTGTTTAATATTGTGTTAAGAATGTTTATAACAGAAGACACAATCAATGTAATGAATGACAAACAAAAGATAAATATATATTTTTTTTAGAAGAATAACTGATTATTAATTATTAATACAAATATATATTAAGAAAATGTATTAAGCTGCTGTATGATTAATTTGTCATATTTTCCATCATAATGTACTCATTCAAAAAAATAAATTGCAACAGGGGGGTCCCCGCCAGAGGATAATGCTATATGGGGGTCCTTGGCATGGCAACGTTTGGGAACCCCTGTAATAGGGAACCTTTAAAACCTTCTGTTTTGGATTATATGTAGTTTAATATATTCTAGGAAAGTGGGGGAAAACACTGTAAAATTACCCAAAACTACTCGAAATAGGAATTTCTACCTAATAAGACACACTTTCAAGCCTTTTTATTCGGTCTTCTTTTCATAACTTATATCATATTTGTTCACTTCGATTGAATGAGCCTCCCCTGAAACAGTTTGCAAAACGCCTACCTTTATAACCTTCTGTTTTGGCTGATATGTATGGATTAATTGGTGTCAGGACAACATGTCAGCACATTTCTAATACCTATTATTGATATTTATACATTGTAGATTTGATGATCACAGAGTTTAGAAACATAAGTAGAGGTGAGAGCTTACCGTCGAGACGTAAATACTGGAAGTTGCGGTAGCTGAAGTAGTCCTCCATGATGGTCATGAGAGTGGTCATTTGGCAGAACAGCAGCACTCTGTGGTTGGTGGCAAGCAGTTTGGGCAGGATGCGATCAAGGAGCTCAAACTTCCCCGAAGCTCGATACAGTTCCAGCCTGGATGGGGGTAATGAGGGAAAACCATAGACTGGTAAAACGTGTCACACTAGTCATCATTACGCCTGTATTGGTTATAAAGTATGGCATCTATTTTGACAGCTGTATCAATTGGCCAATAATGCCCTGAAGTTCTTTTTTGTTTGACAACCTCTTTGATATGTTTCTGTGACATTGGTGTTATTCCATGCAAGCTTTGATCTTGGTTTTTGTGTTTAATGTTTCTTGTTATAGTTTAAAATGTAATTGTGCTTTAGGCTTTCTTTTTTTGCCTTTGTAATAGTTGTGTGCTGATTCTCTCCACCTGTGTGTGATTGTCTGATGGAGATCACCTGCTGCCCTTGGGTTTTTTCCTGCCTCCTCCAGCTGTGTCTTGTCTTTGTGATTAGTCTTGTGTGTGTATACGTCCGTTTTCCCTAGTGTTCCCTGTCAGTTCGTTATCAACGTTTCCCTGATGTGGTTCAGCCTGTCACAGTTCCTGGTTTCCTGTCCTGTCCTGTTATTCTGGATTTTCTTTGTGTACCCTCTAGTGTTGTCCAAGTCTTCCTGTTTGTTCCTCGTTTTTGTTTTGCTACATTTCTTTTTTTTCTACCTTGCCTTCTCGTTCGGTGTTTGTTTTGTGTTTTTCTACCAGCTTTCATTTCATAAAGCTTGCTTTTTTTCTCCGTACTTTCATAGCTGCCTCTTTGTTTCAGTGTGCATTCGGGTGCTGATTTTCTTATCGCTGTGACAGTGATTGAGTTAAATGCTCACAACAACATGCTAACATTCTCAAAATAACTATTCCAACATGCTAGTAAAACACAGATAAGTTTAGCTTTTAAAAAAGCATTTCAATTATTTATGCCTTCTTCCTAATCAAACACTGGCGGCTAGGGGTGTAACGGTTCACAGAAGTCACGGTTCGGTTCGTACCTCGGTTTGGAGGTCACGGTTCGGTATGGGTTCGGTAAAACAAGAAAAAGCAAAAAAAAGTCCCAAATGCATAATTCCAGGTTTGTTGTTATTTATGTTTGAACAGTAGTGCAAGTTTCAGTTTAAAAATAAAGAACTCTGACATTTTGAATAATTAACTGTATTAAACAGTTAAAAACAAACCACAAACAGTACCACACACACTCAGATGGCCATATTATCTATAATGGCTGATGTCAAACAAAAAGGTTTCATCAAGCTGTAAAACTAAAAAGAATGTCTTGAAAATATGACATCATAAATAATAAGAAAGTGTTTCAAGAGCGCAAAGTCGTTGAAAAACATATGCCAAAAGCTTCCGTTATTTATTTTGGTCTCTCGGCTCTCATGTCTATTGGTTTCTTAAAAACAGGGGATCAGCTGTTGAACTGCTGCTGTCTTTTGCCGGGCTCCGGCAAATCTGGGTGATGCCTTCTGATATGATTTAGCATGTTTGGCGTACCATTAGCATAACGCACCTCTGTCGAACAACGCCGACACACCGTCCTCGTCCGATCCACCACTCGCACTCCACCGTTATTGTAGTCCACGGGGAACCCGAAATGTTCCCACACAGCTGATGTAAAAGAAGCAGGTGGGTTCTAGCTCCTGTGTTTTATCTGAAATCGCCATACTAACTTTTCTTCTTCTTGTATTTTGTTCGTTTTGTTGTTGTGTTTCTTCTTGTTCTTCATTTGTTGTTTAAGGGCGGCTGGCAAACAGCTTTTAGGCGCAATACCGCCCCCTGGATTATATATAGTGTAGTGGATACTACCCTGAATGACTTTTTTCCCACTCTAAAAAAAAGGCGTATTCGTCGTGTGACTGCGTGTGCCGAACCGTGACGTCTGAACCGTGACGGTACGGGACGAATACGGATACCGTTACACCCCTACTGGCGGCTTTAATTCCCACTATTCAATTTGACCACCAATAGTTAGTAGTAGCTCACTTCTCTCCAACTCCACAACTTGATATTTTTTCAAACTTGTCTTCAGAATTAACGACTTTGCCTCATGTCATTTTTCAGAGTCCATAAAGCTCCGTCTGGAGCCACAAAATGTTTTATATAACTTTTTTAGTTGACGCTCAATAGGTCACTCTCTCTGTCCCTAAGTCTGTCCAAAAATACCTATTTAATCTTTTGGCTGACCCCGTTTTTGCCCCCACACTTGACCTTCTGTCGAATTAAATTTGAAAGTGTGGGTTTTAAAGTGTGTTTGTGAAAATGCTAATTCTCAAGACAGAGAAGTTGCACTAAGGATTGCAACCAAATGGCCAAAAAAGTTAACCGAGGCATAACTGCACTATTTCAGACATACTAAGATGAATCAAACAATTAAACGGATTGAGGTGCAAAAATATATTGTAATGCTTAAAATCAATGTAAATACTGCATAGACACCTGACACACTGGCTTTTTCACATTTCAACTTCGATTGCATACTCTTATCAGGTGGGAAACTACTATACGCATTAATGAGCTTCAAACAAAGTCAAAAATAAAAACGTTGACTATGCCGCTGCACACAATGTTGTGAATAAATGTCAGACCTGTTGGTTGTGACTGTATGCATGTTGTTTAGAAAGAAACACATGAAAAGATAAAACTGCATTTCTGTAAACAGCTTCTTTTTGACAGAATGTTCAGATATATATATATATATATATATATATATATATATATATATATATATATCCATATAAGTCTGTTTGTTGTCTGTATGCTATTGTTTGAACTTAAGGCACCGCAGAGGCTGTGTTTACCTGATACCACCAACGATATGTACTCCCCTGTTAGTATTTATTAGCAGTATATAAACATTTAATAACTGGTTCATAAGAAACTATTCTCTAAGCAAATATAAGAGTTTACTTTTGTATTAATCCCCAATTATCAATCCTTTTTATGGGCACCCAGATGTAAAGGCTGGTTTTAAAAAAAGATAATAGACAATAAAGTTAAATTCAGTTTAGTGGGAGAAAATATATATTTTTAACTAATACTGTAGGATAATAAACACTTACTTAGTGTTTTTCAAAATGTCAAATGTTTTATTGTGCCCATAAATGTTTCATATGGTATGTTAAAGTAAAGTTTTAGCAAAATACTTTAAAACCAATTGTTGGAGGCTGTGCTCAGCCGGGAAGCACCTTTTCCCTGCTCTGTTAACATTTTATCGTGTTTACCTGAATCTATTATTACTGTGTTTTGTGCCTCAGGTCAATTCCCTTCCTCTCTCGGACATCGCCTCGTCAAACTGCCTCTCTATGAAACTCAGTCAGCCTCCACTCTGACTAGTGTGATTAATATTCGCTTTCAACGCTTAGCTGACCACTTCCCAGGTTTATGTTCAAAGACTTTAACTCAGAAAATATTACAATGTGGTTTTCAAGGAGGGTGTTTTTTTGAACAACTTACCCACTGATGACGCCATTTGGAAAGCCCAAGTGCTCCGAAAAAGACTCCTACAACAGAGAATATTAACTAGTTTAAATAAGGGTAACAATATTACATATTTAAATGTAGCTGACCTAAAGATAACCTTCCGAACTATTATCTGAGCTGTTTGAAAAGAAAGAGACAGCACTCTATAAATTCAGACCGACTTTTAGTCGAATTAAATCTGTATATTTACAATTGTTTTCGTATGTAGAACTTAAAGTATAGCCCAGCAAATATCAAACTAAAATACAATGATTTCAGAAAATAAAACTTTCGTGACGACAACATCCCAGAAAAATGTTTACCGGAAGCCATTTGGATTAATATGACAAATATTCCTTGAAAAATGAAACCCATATCTTTGAAGGTAATGAATATGCAATTAGCTGACAATTAGAATATGTAAATGATAGAGACATGCACAAGTGGAACCCAGTGTCATATTTTCCACTATTAGTATTCACAGGCTTTTAACACTCACCTCAATGTGCTGGAAGATGTAGGGATGGTTGCAGATTTTCTTCAGCTGCATGATGGTGTTCATCAGGGTCTTTGACCCTCCTTTGCCCTTGGGACAATTGAAACAAATAAAATAAATGAAACGCCAGTTCAAAACAATGATATTTGTCTTGATGTGAGTTTAAACTGGAAATAACAGTTGGTCTGTCAGCGTTTGTGACTGATTAACAGCTGCCTGCAGCGGTAAAACTGAAATATGAGATTGGTAAGAGTTCACCAAATGTGTTGGGGGTTGACAGCTAAAAAATAACATGAAAATGTAAAGCTCTTCAAAGTCGAGGGGAGCTAGTGATTCTGCTACTTCTTTCACATTGTCGCATAGCTTTCATGTTGTCGTTTCATAGAGAGGTGCAGAATGCGTCACAAGGGCTCCCTCGATAAAAAGTGATGGGATTTTTCCATTGGATCTTGGAGTGCTGTTGCACGTAAGATCTCCGGTAAACACGTTTAATATACGTAGATGTTTAGTTCAGCAGGATACTCTCCAAATATTAACAAAACGTTTATGATTTGCGAAAGAGTAAATACAATTACTAGAAGTCAAAAGCTAACGATAGGCTATAAACAACCTACACCGTGGTCACATGATGTTTTTAACTAACGTCACCACCTCTAAGCTGAAGACAGCTAATGGTCGGAGGGATTACGTTTAGTTGTCTCATTTAGTCACATGGCCATTTTTGAGGACACACAGAGGCTTCGGACATTCAGGAGTGGGGTATCCACTGATGTCTTTTATGGAATAAAAACATGGACATTAATCTATGCATTTAATCAAAAACAAGCAAAAATAATTGACTTCAAAACAAGGGAGCCAAAAGTGGTGAAATGCTAACTCATTTCTTGATTTAAGGACTCATGTCTGCATTAAAGCAGTTTAACGTATCTTTAATATTACTGAAGAACCTCAGAGAAAAATCTTGCAGGTAATACAGTTTTTTACCGTGGTGTACTTATTGGTTTTTGGTTATTTGTTCATGTGAGCAGTATACTGTACAAGTATACTCTTTTTCCCTTTTTCTTTCCACCTGTGCTGCTGCAATGACGTAAATGTTCCCGCTGTGGGACGAATGAAGGAATTCACATTCTGAAATATACCCTTTATCCTCTGGAGTAAATATCTCTAAGCCATGCTGCTCAGTTTGACACAGCATGTCACACACTGGTATTAAAACAAAGCGCAGACATACTGTGAAGCCGGGGGGGTTCTGTGTATATTTACCTTCTTGTCTTTCTCTGAGCCGTCAGTGAGGAGGATGCCTCTCTGCATGTGGCGGTACAAAACCTTCTGTATGGCAGACATGTCACATTTGACAACATACTCCACCTGTGTTGAATGACAATAATAAAGAATGCTTCAGTGAAACAGTGGTGCCTTCTCAGTGGCAAATATGTTTGGAAGTAATTGAAAACAAGAAAAAAAGGCACATTATATACATTTACAACTGGTACGACCTCTAAAGGTCAAATTAATTTCATTTAAATTGTTAGATTATTCAATTATTTAAAGGCTTTTTTAAGAAACTGGTTCTATTTTCCAACAGTAATTGATGTAGTTCTTCTTAACGTCAGCTATCTGTGATGCCGAAGGCAATGCTGGATACTTTTATAAGTAACTTTGTGTATGTCTGTCCAATTATCTGCCCTTTATAATTCTCTTTAAAGAAAGTACACTTTGATTGGTTTTGCTGCTGCTCAAAGTTCATTTCTTTAAGTTCAAGTGAAGTTCTTAATGTCATACGCTCAGTGGAGCAGTCTTTGCCAATACAATTCTTAGATTGCAGGCTGCCTCCAACAGCGCTCTTACAGGTTTGTTTAAAGGAGACATGTCATGGCCATTTCCACTGATCATAATTCCATTGTTGAGGTCTACTAGAATAGATTTATATTGTGCAATTTTCCAAACTCACATTGGTTTCTCAAACAGCATCTCTGTAAACTACGTGTATTCACTGAATTTCACTCTCTGCCTTTAACGGCTCGTTGTAGCTCCAATAGCTCCAGCCCCACCCTCCCTGATTGGTCGGGACGTTGTGAATCGCGCTGAGCTCCGTGGAGGTGTCGTTTCCTTGTTTAGCGATACACAGCGAAACACAGCCAAACTCATCCTGAGCACACACAAACTCACAGCCGAAGTAAAAATAATAAGTGAGACACTTGAGTAAGAAAAAGTTTGATAAACGCTGTGAGAATGGGTCTGCAGAGAGAAGGGGTCTGCAGAGAGAATGGGTCTGCAGAGAGAATGGGTCTGCAGAGAGAATTTTGCTGCGATCCCAACTGTCTGTTATCAGCCTGCAGCCAGGGAGGAGAAATCAGCAGAGCTGCCTGCACTGAGTGTGTGAGGAAGTCCGTGGATTGGTCAATTTGGACCAATCAGCGGGGGCTTAACGTAACGGCTCCACGGACGTAACGTAACGGCTCCACGGATTGGTCCATTTAGTTCCGGGTACGTGCTTACGTAATCTCGTACCCGGAACAATCAAATGGATGATGACGTTTCACCAACGAGGCGTTTTGGGGAGGAATTTTCTGTTTTAGAGTTTTACTCGCTACAGGGTGTACTTTGAGGGTTTTGACTCTGCAGACCGTTTACATGCAGAAAAACCTTCATAACACACAAGGGGACGGGTAATAACCGGAAAAGCATGACATGTGATCTTTAACAAAGTATCACACAAATTCATTTGGAATTCAGAAGTTCCTGCATGAAACTGCTTCCAACAAGGTCCGTTAATAATATAACTTAAATATTACATAATTTGAGGATAAGTAACTGGGTCATGATTTCTAAAAATACATTTATATTTCTGTTAGAACGTAGTTTTGGCGACAGAAGCACAAGCTGAGTGCCTTCAACTCTTCAACTTTAGATTTGCAGTGCTGCTGGTAGGAGAAGAATATAAAAATGTTGGGTCAATTTTCCCTTTAAGATGCTTCTGGAAAACAGCACAGCTTACCTAGAATAAACTATCTATATGAAAGCAATTAGGGCAAACAGTGTAACGTAGGGTCCCTTATGGTCCTTGTGGCTCAAATTGCGTGCGTCATACACCATAACCACCCTGGGCTGACAGACCACCGAAGTGCAGCCCAAAGTATGTGAGAACCATTATTCAGATGGATATGAATTGTCTGGAATTACAGGAAAACAAAGGCAGCCGAATAGCGTTGGATGGGTAAATGTGCATTAATGTAATGCCGGACAAATGCAGACCCACTATTTTAATATGAATGAATGTTAGGTTGACCGAAGCAGTTTGAGCATGAATCATTTGCTTCTGGTATTAAGAAAGCAGGGCCGCCAGTGGACAAAGCAAAGCAAGCAGGAAGCAGGATTTCGTTCAAAATATCAATATCAATGACACTCAAGTGGTCTGGATTTAACCATTTGGCAGGTCGTATGTATTATTAGATCAAATTACGTTAAACTGTAATCTCACCTTCTCTGGCAGCTGGGACTCCACCTCTTTCTTCAGTCTGCGAAGCAGGAAGGGGCGGAGCACCTTGTGCAAACGCCGGATAATCAGGATGGTCTCCTCCTCATTTAGGTCGACCTAGAGAAGAGAGGATGAAAAGTGACAGAACATTACAGCATGTTGTGTTTTATAAACTGGGCAGCAGGATTCAGAATCACATTAACACTACATTAAAACCCCAGGACCACAAAGAACACATAACAATTGTTTCTCACTAACTTTTTTGGTTCTGCTCCATATTCACAATATGTGACCTGCTCTATCGAAATCAGTCGCATTGACCGGAAGACACATTTTGAGTTGTATACTGTACACTGTTGGAAAGAGGAGATTCATAGCTTTCTAATGATATCAGGATTGTTGTTGTACTCCAAATATTAAGCGAAATATGTCACATTATATAATGACTGTCACCGAGTCATCATTTTGAGAAAAAGTTTCCTCATCTCTGGAATCCATCGATCTGATTGATTATTAGCGGAGCAAATGATCAAAATACTACGGAGGGAAGATATTTTCGTTTGGGGGAAGCTTGCAAGTGTGTGTGTGTGTGTGTGTGTGTGTGTGTATACGTGTGAGTTTGTGTAATTTTGCATTTGTGTGTATTGTGTTTGTTTCCCGGGAAAACACTCACGAGAAACACCGGCTGTTGTTATGCTTGCTGTGACGTTAAATTACTCCGTTCTCTGCTTGTAATTATGCCGAAGCTTCAAAGCTGTATTTATCATCTGAATTTGCCGAAACCAGTTTAATATTCTGAAAGCCAAGACTTTGTTTATTTAAAATCAGATGAAAACAAACTGTAACGGACCCTGCCGTGTTATCTATGATTACTATACTCTTACATTCATAATGTCAGCGGAGGGAGGGGAAGCGGCGCTGCGGAAGAGCAGATTGCGAGTGAGAGCTGTCATCTTCCCTACAAGCTTCAAAAATGTATTTATCGTGTGATTTTGGAAATAAAAGTTTCAGATTCTGAAAGCCAAGACTTTGTTTGTTTAAAATCAAACAAAACACCCGAACCCCGAAAAAATAGTTTTGTACGCAAATCCACGTTTATTTTCAAATGAGTCGTTGCGACTTCCGACTGATTTCGATAGAGCGGGTCACAAATAGACTCATAAAACACCTTTTTTTTCATTTTTTTGCCTTGTTCTTTTCGTCATGTCACACAATGTATTAAGTCCTGTCTTATCTAGTCTCACCTGGTAAGTCTTGATTTACTCAATAAAAAAGCTTTCAAAAGATGTACCCATTGATGTTTAGTACAGGTATTATACAACCCATGTTGTATCTAGGCAATAAGGCTAAGTACTCCCAGGGAGGCAGAACATATTTTTTAACCTGTGCAAGCTGCTTTCCTGATGGGAAATTACATTTTTTTTTTAGATTTTATTAGATTAGATTCAACTTTATTGGCATTGTACACCGAAATGCAGTTTGCATGAGGTTAAAATATATGCACATATTGATTACAATATCACAGTTGTTGCAATTGTGAGGAAAGATACAGACACTTTTATATGAATATGAAATAAATGTACAAATATGAAATAATGATTTACAAAGAAAGGTGCAGGGTTAGAGGGATGTACAGATAAGATGCATGGCTCAGGCACATATAAGTTAAATACAGTTGTATAAAATATGAACACAGATTTAATAATGATGTCACAAAGCAGTGTACGGTTCAATTCCCTATAGATCTTTAGCCAAGAGTTTAAGTGTTGTCTTGTGAAACACAAAATAGTTTTAAAAATCACGAATCAATATCCTGATAAAGGATCAAATCTTGTAAAAAATCTAGAATTGTTAGACTAGTTTGCTTTCAGAATCAGAAACAGGTTTATTACCCGGTAGGTTTACACTTACGAGGAATTTGACTAGGTGTCGTGGTGCACAAGTAAAACAACAATTAAACTTTGTGATATGTGAGTCTTGTACTTGGAATAAACCCCGGACATACGAAATGAGTGCATTTGCAGAAAATCGATATGACCCACGTCCACTTTCAGATGTTAATCTTACAGCAAATGGAACAGAGTTAAGAAAGCAGGCAGTATTTTGTCGTACGTACCCTCTCTCCTGTCATGGCGAATGGGGCGTTGAACCACTGCTCGAAGGTGTTGCAGCTCTTGAAGATGGTGGGCAGCAGGAAGTTGAGCAGGGCCCACAGCTCGGGCAGCTTGTTCTGCAGGGGGGTGCCGGTGAGGAGGAGGCGGCGCGGGGCCACATAGTGAGTGTTCAACACCTGGGTCAGCTTACAGTGGTGGTTCTTCATCCGGTGACCCTCGTCCACAATCATGTACTTCCAACGAATCTGTATGAGGGAGGGGAGTTATAATACCCTTATTTTTACACTTTGAAACAGTGAAATATTTTCATTTAGAACACTATTGATCGCAAAGTTTGATTTTCTGCAACGACTACCTCAGGGTGCACTGCTGCATACAAATCAGAAGTGTCTCCTTCCCGATCTCATTTCATATGGTATTAAAAAGGTTTGAACCAAAAGTTTTTAGATAGACAGACAATCGTACTTTATTTCTCCCAAGATGAAAAATGACTTTGTCACAACAGCATTTTGACAGTCAATCTACAAGAATTACAAAAACACTTCAAACATTTAAAATACAAAAAAATAAAGATAGACATTTATCATTTTAGAATAAAAACATATATATATATATATATATATATATACACACATGCTCTAAGACCTATATTCCGAGGAGTATCTCACATTATAGAATATACAGAATCAATTAGAATATTCTCTAATGTACCAATCTACAGAGTGTACTATACATTAAAACATGATGTACTGTTGCTTGAAATTAAGAGTAAAAAAGTGATTCAAGCAAATAAAAACAGCAAAGGTTATGCTTAGAATGAATTATTTCAGATACTTACCACCAAAGTTTATTAGACTTACGGCAGTTTTATAAAATGTAGTTGTAATACAAAGCTTTCTGAATTCAAAAACTGAAAATGCTCCTGAAATAAAGTCATTCAAAGGGTCTACTCAGTTGCCAATATTGACTGCTGAGTATCAAATAAGACCCACTCTTCCCTCCAGAGAATACTTCAAACCATGGACTGAACAATGTGCTGTGCACACATCGGGCATTGTAGTGGAAGAGGAGTCTGTCAAATGTGTACGTGTGTTTCTGAGTGCTTGCTCCTTGAAGCGCCTTACAGAAACCGAGGCACAAACACACAGTTCTACACCAAGGCAAATATGAAGGGTTTTCTACATTGTGTGGGGATGTTAAAAAGAATGTCTGCAGCACTGAGTGTATAAACAAAAAACAGCTCATAGTCTAGAAAATGAAGGACATATGCAGCAATGTTACTATGTCCAACATACGCCTAATGTCTTCTTTATCTTCGCCAAAGGAAGTAGTCACGTGTGAGTCATTGTGTGTGTGTATATAAGTGAGTGTGTGTAACATCTTTGTCTATGTAAACAGCTTATCTTGCATAATACTGAGCCAATCAGCCTTAGATTTGTGCCTTAGCTTTAAATTAGCTAAGTTATCACTGTATGATCAAAATAACAAAGAAACAAAACAACTTTATTGCCTATTTCACACTGTCATTGTCTACTGACTATAAAACAACACACACAGCTGAATACGCAACCTGTTGTTGTTCTATCAACTCGGTAATTAAGTTGGTTTGTTCCTCCCTAGTTTGAATAACATTTGTTTCACAGGTTTATTAAGGGAAATATGTGTGAAGAGTTCATTTATTGACATGTTCTACATTTAGAGAGGCTGATCTCCCTGCTGAAACTACATTATACCTAACAACTCTAGATATTGAAATGGTTTTAAATACATTTCGTTTTTGGGACGGTTAACATTCATTCAATGTTTGTAGGGGCTGTTTTGCCACTAAGGTTAGATACAGATTTCTTCTGCTGTGTTAGACCCAAACAACACTCACTCTTGATTTAGGTACTTGCTCTGTTATCACCATGTCCTTGAATTCGGCAGTAAAGTGACTTTCAAAGTATTTCTGGCACTTTCCTGATGAAGTGTCAATCATTTAACCACAGATAAGAAAAGCTGTAGAGAAAACGATTTAAGAAATGTAAGTATATAAAAGAAGGTATATCTGTAATTGGTGTGGGACAGTGTGGGATTGCATGAGTACAAAGGGAGAAAATGGCAGATAGAGTGCAGGCGAGAAATTGTAGAGATGAAAAAAGCTTTGATCTGCTTCACCTTGGCCAGTATGTTCTTGTCTTTGATGATGTATTCATAAGTGGTCAGCAAGACGTTGAACTTCCCACTGCGAAGTTGAGGCACAAGCCCACGGCGCAACACAGGGGTCCCCTACCACGGGATAGACACAAAGAAAGTTTAGACAAAAGCAATCAAAGGGGGGAAAAAGGGAAAGTCACATAAAAAACTGACTTTTACCTTGTAAGCAACCTTAACCACAGATGGGGACCACTTGTCAAGTTCATACACCCAGTTAGACAAAGTCCTGGGGGAAGAAAAAAAGAAATCACCACACAATTTTACACTGAAGCAAGTGGTCTTCAGTAAAGAGCCAGAACGTGTAATGTGATCACACATTAAAAAGGGGAATCATTCAAATGTAATCTAGGTTAAGACATCATTTGCTGGATAATCTTTAAAAGAAAAGAAAATCCCTTGAAGTGCAAAATATTTCAAAAGGGTCAAATAGATGCCGCTCACACATTCGGCCCCCCCAGGCAGACCAATCTCTTTCCTCATTAACTTCAATTTCCCAACACACAACTACGAGTGAAAGAGGGCGAGTTTAAGGCTTTCCTCCACATCGGTTCCCTGTGCACATTAAAGAAGAATATTTAACACAAAGGCTGAGCTCAAGCCTCTGCTGTGCACAGTTTGACTACAAACAGCAACCCCTCAGTAATGATTAAAAAAAGGGTGGTGTGCAAAAAGAAAAAAGTGTTCGTTCTAATCCTAGCAGTAAATTATCATGAAAAAATAAATACTAATGAGGGGAAATGTTTAAAGAGGCTGAACATAACCCAGGAGCATTAACCCAATTACATGTTGTTTATTGGGGGGAGTGGGGTTGAAACAAGCGTAAGCCTGGTCCACCTTGGAGAGGTGGTCCCCTGGGCCCAGGAGTTCAAAACTTTTAATCTCAAATCAGATTTTGAAATCCCATTTGTTGTGATCCAAGATCAGACAAGTCGGCCAAATGTTGTCCCTGGAGTTCAAAGCAATTCAGGATAGGATCAGCCTGATCCAGATTACGACTTTTCAAGATGACTAGATCCTGAATATCAGTGCTTTAATCCTACCGATCGCCATCTAGTGGACATGAAAAATAATACAAGGAAGACAAGAGACCACATTGCAGAGACATCTATTGTCCGCAATTACTTTTGAAAGGTGATGACAGATGATGGACTTTTTTTTTGTTGAAGATATTTTTAATTTAATCTAAATTACATTTGTGCTCAGCGACATTAAAGGGGCCCTGTTATGCGTTCACATTTGACATGTCTCCATGCTTTAATGTTCCAAAAGCTCTTTATTTTTCTCATGTGCTGCAGCACCTCTTTTCACCCTCTGTCTGAAACCAGAGCCCAGTCTGCTCTGATTGGTTATCTGGCCAGCTCTGTTATGATTAGTTGACCGCTTAGAGTTGTCCCGCCCCTTAGCCTATTATGTACAATGTGTTGGAATACTAGCCAATAGAAGCGAAAGTGTAAGATAATTATGTCATTATGTCGCGGAAATAAACCATCAAGTCCAATCGAGGAGTTTCAAAGATAGAACTTAGAATGAATGGACAAACCAATATATATGTTGATTCTTCCAGCAGCCTGTACCAATGTGCCTTATACTCAGGGCTGCACATACTGTATATGTGCAACCCCCCCCGTTCATATAGTCAAGTCTCAAAAGGTCCGGTTTATTTCATTTTAAGGATGCGCACCAAGCAACATCTCCAGGTGCTCCTTTGAGAACCGGGACAAAAAAGTTATGTGCACCCCTGCTTATACTGTACGTTGTTAAACCGTCACATTGTAAAATACAGCCCAGCAATGTGCAAATGATTGTTTACTGAAGATTGCATGGATTTAGGGGTAATGTCAAATAATATTAAGCGGCGGGACAGTTGTGAAGGAATGATTACCTTACCGCTGCTGAGACATTCATGAATCCTGATTCACCTCTTCTCCATTACAGCCCTATCTTGTCATTTAGACTAATTAGATTGGCTGTTTCAATTTCTAATATTTTCTGAAAGAAATTGTAAAAAAAATTTGTACTGTTTCATAACACTGCAATATGAGAGCTGTGACGGAGTACTGACGAGAGAGGAACGATGATGAGGAAGGGCCCGTTGATCCTCTTGTGCTCCATCAGGTAGGTGATAAGGCCAATGGTTTGGATTGTTTTGCCGAGGCCCATTTCATCAGCCAGGATGCCGTTTAGATTGTTGTTGTACAGAGACACCATCCACTCCAGCCCCTGGACCTGAAAACACACAGAGAAATAGAGGTATGCCTAAAAATATGCTTGCAGAGAAATATAATTCACGCTGCTTGATTTTAAAGTTTTATGTCTTTAAGACCAGAATACATTATTATCAGAATCAAGTAGGTTTACACATTCAAGACATTTTGATAGTTGTTTATTTGTACATAAACAAACACAGTACGGAAAATAAGCTATAAAAAAGGAGCCAAAATAGGACAAGCTACAGAACCTTTTTAAAATACTAAAACATTTTAAAAATAAAAAAGAGTTTACAAGTAAACAAATAAACAAAAAACTAAATTAAAGTATAAAAAGGGAAGGTAAAGAACCTTGTTAAGGGCAGGCATGACAATCTGAATACTAAAATGACTCAGATGGGTCATATGCAAACGTCACTACTTCCCTCTTGTAAAAATTCTCCTGTTAGCTGTGACAGTTGTAAACAAATAGTGCAGCAACTAAAACATATCTTTGTTATTGATAAACCTGCTGATTATTTTCAGTTTAAAATGTTTAGTCATGATCAGAAAATAATGACAAATGCCTATTTGCTAGTTTCCAAAGCTGAGGGTGGTCTCTTTAAATGGCTTTTTTGGCGAAAAGTTGATTTTATAGAAATAGTTGCTGATGAATTTTACTGTTCTATGGCTTATTAATTATTGAAGAAAAAGTTAAAACTGTATTAAAAAAAACTGAAACTGGAGTTTGTTCCTTACGCCTGCCTTTATGTTATTGTAAAAACCTTATCTGCATTTAAAGAAGTTTATATAATGGATGTCAGAGTAAGTTTTTGCAAAATGCACTTTGATCTCATCGCCTCTTTGGCATTTTATATCCCAAGTGATTCAAGCGTGGAGGCAAAATATCAACTGTTTTACCAATTATGTGTCTCGCCAAGGGCAAAAAATCAGCAAAAAGACAGAACTGAGGAAAGGGAAGGGCGCGAGGGCACCGGCAGCCGGAAAGGGGAAGCCAACCAATTATCCACCGCATTACCAGAAAGCCTGACAGCAGATCTAATTGCACAGAAAAAAAGGCAGGTAAAGGGTAACATTTATAAGGAATCAAATACTAAATTCAGGTGTGTTACACAGACCGCTGTTTGCACCACGGGCTTTCATTGTTATAATTTTGACGGACAGGGTCGTAAAATGTCTCTTATAATCTTGCTCCACTGAGATCCAACAGCTAGTTGCAGGTGGCCTGTGGAACTGCCAGTTCCACAGGCTGTTCTTAAGGCTGACTTCATTTCTGGCTACACTTCCCTGCAGTCTCTGGATTTCCTTGCTCTCACTGAGACCTGGATTACTCCATCCACCCTAGCAGCTCTCTTCACAGCATATTCCTTCTCCCATACACCTAGACCCACTGGCAGAGGAGGTGGCACTGGTCTCCTGCTCTCTCCCAACTGGAGCTTTTCCCTCTTCAAGCTACCTAACTTCACTCCTTCCACCTTTGAATTCTTGGAGGAATTAGATAATCTCCTCTCACACATCCCTGAAACTGGCCCTCCCGCTGTACTTCTCAGAGACTTCAACCTCCAGACGGGGAAGATAGACGAACTAACATCTCTGTTAACCACCTTTGCCTTCTCACTGTCTCCGTCCCCACCAACTCATAAAGCTGGCAATGTCCTTGATCTCATATTCTCAAGGAACTGCACTACTTCTAACCTCTCTGTAAACCCGCTCCACACATCCGATCACTTCTTTATTTCATTCTCTCTATCCCTTTCCAAACATAACGAACTAATCTCTTCTCATCCTGCACCTGTCCGCCGTAACCTCCGTTCCCTCTCCCCCTCTACCTTTGCCTCATCTGTGCTCTCAGCCCTATCTTCCTCTGACTCGTTCCAACTTTGTTAACTACTTTGAAAAAAAGGTTGATGATATTCGCTCTTCTTTTTCTGACTCACCTTTACTCACCGCTGGGTCACCAGACCCTCCCTTCACCCACAGACTAACCTCCTTTTACCCTCTCTCTCCAAGTGAGGTTCTTACCCTCATTACTTCTGCCCGTCCTACCACCTGTCCTCTGGACCCTATCCCTTCAAACCTCCTTCAGACTATCGCTCCTGATATTCTACCGTTTCTCACCCATTTCATCAACACTTCTCTAACTTCTGGTCACTTTCCAAACAGTCTCAAGGAGGCAAGAGTAAACCCTCTCCTAAAGAAACCCACTCTCAACCCGTCTGATGTTATAAACTACAGGCCTGTCTCTCTCCTCCCGTTCCTGTCTAAAACACTTGAACGTGCTGTCTTTAAACAACTCTCCTGTTATCTCCATCAGAACAACCTTCTGGATCCGCACCAGTCTGGTTTCAAGGCAGGTCACTCCTCAGAAACTGCTCTCCTTGCTGTCTCTGAGGAACTGCACACGGCTAAAGCAGCACTTTCCCTCCTCACCTCATACCTCAAAGACCGTACCTACAAGGTAACTTGGAGAGGGTCCGAGTCCGACCCTTGTCAATTAACTACAGGGGTCCCTCAGGGCTCTGTTCTTGGTCCCCTCCTCTTTTCCTTGTACACAAACTCGCTCGGATCAGTCATTAGCCCGCATGGTTTTTCATACCACTGCTACGCTGATGACAACCAACTAATTCTGTCCTTTCCCCGCTCAGAGACCCAGGTCGTCGCACGCATCTCTGCTTGTCTAGCTGACATCTCTCAGTGGATGTCTGCTCATCACCTCAAGCTCAACCTTGACAAGACTGAAATGCTTTTCCTTCCGGGAAAAGATTGTCCCACTCTTGACCTAACAATCAACATCGGCACCTCTGTTGTTTCCCGACTCAGACTGCAAGGAATCTTGGTGTGACCCTAGATAACAACCTGTCCTTCACTGCAAACATCGCTGCTACAACCCCTGCTGAAGATACACTCTTTACAACATCAGGAGGATACGTCCCCAGCTGTCCCAGAAAGCAACGCAGGTTCTGGTCCAGGCTCTCGTCATCTCACGCCTAGACTACAGTGTGAGAAAAAGTTTTGAGAGAGTACTTGTCCATGGACAAGTGAGTTTGGCAATTTACTTGTCCGAATACATTTTTCACTTGTCCAGAATGGAAAAAAATTTGGGGCCACTGGAATCTTCTTCTTTGCCATCGTATTTTACATTTTCCCACGGTTTTTACAACACCGCTAACGTAAGTGAGCGGTAAGATTTTACTGCATCACACATAGGGTTGGGTATCGTTTGGATTTTAACGATTCCGGTTCTGCTTTTCGATTCCGGTTATTTTCGGTTCTCGATTCCGGTTCTTTGAGAGGGTAAAAATAAGTCCCATGACAAACTGGGAGAAAAATATATATATATGAAAACATTAAGTCAAATCTGTATTCCTATTTACAAATCACTTCATACTGTTGAATTTCTTACGGCCCTCAAATCTAAGTCAAACCAGTGTAATTTATTTTGTGACAAATGAACGTTTTCGTAGTTTGCCGAGGCAATTAATGGCAATGATAACTGTCTAATATGGCTATCTTTTTAGCTAACTTACCAATGTGGTTATGGTTCTGGTGTGAAATAAAGCACAATAATTACATTTAAGACTGTTTCCCTTTTTTTAAGAAAAGTATTGAAAAAGAATCGGAATCGCAATTCTTGACTTGGCATCGGTATCGAAACCAAAATGTTGGTATTGTGACAACACTAATCAATATAGATGTTTTTTATTTGAAAGAAAATTCAGATTGATATAATAAGTACCCTGTATCAAGATTGATGCAAAACAAGTGACATTTGACCTTTTTAGAGAGGTTTAGCAAAACAAACTCGACCTCTGGGTCATTTGGGTGGAAATGGGCGTTTTTGCCGTTTCTCTGGAACCCATTGGTCGATTTTGATGATTGACATCTCTTTTGAACCGTTAGAGCCAATAGAATCGAAGAGGAATTTCCACATACACACACACATTACCATTGAGAAATGAGAGCTATGCGCACGCAGTTTGCCCAAAGCGAAACCTATCTTACGCTCTGAAATCTGAACATTTAAAACAAGGTTTATTGCTGATGGATTATCAGAAATCATTTCAAAGTGACACATTGGATTAACCCAGTGGTTCCCAAACTTTTTCAGTCGGGACCCCCTTGGGTATTGGAAATATTTTCGGGACCCCCCAACCCGGTTCCCATCTATATTGGTAGGATTAATTGTTGTAAAAACATTACATTTTCTCTGCTAATAATAATAAGATACAAAGATCCAACTATCATTTTATATTTTATTATGGATTACACATGAACAAAAGTGCTTGTAATAGATGCTGTGAATTAATTTGGCCTAATTAAAACTGGTTGACCTTCTTCCCTGAGTAGTAGATTTTTAAATTCAAATTTCTTTAAGGAAAATGTATTAATTAACTACTATTTCTACTGCAGGTTGCAAACGATCACATCACTTGACCATTCCTATTCCACACATAGCCTATCAATGACTTGTGTGTGCTTGCTTTCCCTCGCAGATCTTCTCAAACCGGGGCTGTTGTTTTGAGACTGCCACTCTCAGTTCATTCTCAATGTTCAGCTTTGATCTGTATTTGGTTTTGATGGCAGCAACAGCAGAAAAAGCCTCTCACACAAGTAATGTTGCAAAAGGCAGCATTGTGCCCACAGCTCTCTGACCAATGAGATACTTTCGAGCAGTGTTTGTTTACAATTGAATAATAACAATACATTTGATTTATATAGCACACTTTAAAAACAACGTCATCTCAAGGTGCTTCACAAAGCTAAAAGGAGAAAATAATAAAATAAAAAAATCTTCCCGCGACCCCCCCTGCAGTACCTCCCCGACCCACCAGGGGTCGCGCCCCACAGTTTGAAAACCACTGGATTAACCTATGGATTAACCTTCAGCAGCGTTTTTATCGTTTTAATGCCATTGAAGACAACTTTTGATCAGACAACAACAAAGGTAAGACATATTGCCGTGTTGGCTACCTAATGCCACGTGTTGTGATGTCTGTTTTTGTTTCTCATGTCGCAAGT